TCGAAGAGATGGTACCATTTAGAGCAATTATTGCCAGGAAATCATTACTAATTTTATACTCGCAATGTTGCTTGCATTGTTGGCCAACAGTCGACGCAGCCGCCAGCGACGCTCGCCAGTCACCAGGAGGAGGTTGTTGTTGCTCATCTTCGCAATTTCACCCTCCCAAGTTTAACCATTGCCAGCTTCTATACACGAATTTTCTGGTGAAATTGGCGTATATAATTTGTTTGAAATTTCATCAGCTCACATGCCAGCTCCTCGATCTCTTCGACCTTCTCGAAGTGCTGGTATTTTACAATAGCTTATAAAGTTCTTTAAACGTTAGCCAATTTGAAATTTTCAACTTTGTGAACTTTGCAACACATTCTCAGCGCTTATGCTTGTATAGCTTTAGAAATGTATGTCGTCCGTTTTCGGTCCTTAGCTTTGTGCAAATTTGCTTACAAACAATTAATTTTCTTAATACCCCACCGCAACAAGCGAATATTTCACTTACACTTACACCCCGCCACATTGGCCGCAGACACGCCCCAGCCGCAACACAAGGTGAGCAAAGCATCAAAAGGATCTGGGCACTTAAGTATTTATGTATCTATGCATTTGGAGTCTACACTACTACATAACTACATATGCATGTCCTTTAAAATTGCTGCCTGTCAACTACAAGCATGTTAGCGGAAATGTTTTCCATCTACGCCCATCATGAAATTCGACTATCTATGCATATGCACAAATATACTTATATGTATAAATTTATATCTATCTGTATGTACATATGTAAATCTGTATGTTTGTCATATAGTGGCGTGCACATGAGTGCGAGTTAAGTTTGTGCAAGTTGTTTAAGGATGTTGAAATTCCTTTAGTAGTCGCTGGCTTTAGAAAATTACATTCGTTTGCGGTCATAGCTTTACAAGTTTGCGGATTTTTTTAACTCTTGCAAATATAAAAATGGACATAAATTGTTGGTAATTTAATAAGTGGGCATACGTTTTTGGATATGTAAAAGCTGGACATAAATTTATGGGCATTCAAAAGTGGGACATAAATTTATGGCCAGACATACATTTATGTCCATTTAATTGTTGGACATAAATTTTTGATGATTTAAAAATTGTGCACATGAAATTGACAGCAAATATTGGTTTGCAATAAGTGGACATAAAAAACTGAACACTTAAAACCGTACATGTGGATGGATACTTTTGAGACACAAGCTATCTTAGGTGAGCAGTTTATTTGAACTCTTTAAAGTAAACAATAAATATACATAAGTTTTACGTAATTTAATAACTGGACATAACATTTTTTGCCATGTATTGGACGGGACATAAATTTGTGGTCATTCAAAAGTTGGACATAAATTTTTGGTAATTTAACATTTTAAACTGGACATGTGAATGGGTTTATTTGGACGCTATTCAGTTTTTTCTCTTGTTAGCATTTTCAACAGGCGACATATTATATATACATTGGGGTGGTCCTTAAAATATGAAATGAGCGATTTTTTTCAGTCTCACCCCTTCAATTGGTAATACCACGGTCACAGATATCACATACAAGTTTTGGTCCCGATTGGAGTCGGTTAAGACGTCTTCATAGAGTAATCTGAATTTTGATCCCTGTGCGCCACGCCTTAACCGAAATTAACATATTCATATATATTCATCAACAGTACAGTAGAAAAATATTCCACGCCAACATTTAATTATTTTTAAATAATATGACTTTTAAGTTAAGGCCTGTCGTGTAAATGTGGTGCTATGGGGCGTATACGTTACACACAACTACGGGTATATGATCACGAGCTGTTATTTTTACATTTTTATACCCGAGCGTACTTGTGCACAAGGGTATATTAATTTTGTTCACATAACGGTTGTTTGTAACAGCCAAAACGAATCGATATAGATATAGACAAATGTGTACATAAATGCTCAGAATGAATAGAGAAATCGATTAAGCCATGTCTGTCTGTCCGTCCGTCTGTCCGTCCGTCCGTGTACACGATAACTCGAGCAAAACTTGAGATATCTTAACGAAATTTGGTATGTAGGTTTTCTTTTATCCAAGTTAGGTTGGTATGGGTGAAATCGGACTGTAACCACGCCCACTTCCCATATAACGGTA